GTGTGCTCTTGTACAGATATCCTTGTGAGGACATTTTGAGACTTGGTTTTAGGGTTAGGGTTAGGATTAGGTTAGGGTTTAGGTTAGGGTTAGACATTTAGTTGTGATGGTTAAGGTTAGGGTTAGGAGCTAGGGAATGCATGATGCCAATGAGTGTCCTCACTAAGATAGAAGTACAAACGTGTATGTGTGTGTGTGTGGGTGTCGGTCTATATAAAAATTGAATTACACACAAATAATGAGTGATGGCTTCGGATCAAATTCCCTGTGAAAGTTCCCTCCCTCCATTTTCTGGCTGTCTGAACAAATAAAAAATACTGAATATGAGAACATTATCCACTCCCCTCTGACATCCACCACAGGCATTTCATATATTTCCCTGAAGCGATGGCTCCTCCATTCTGCTTTGACAAAGAACCTTTTTACCCTAATAAAGACTGTTTCCCTTTCAGCGAGCGCACAACAAAGCGAACGTAAAGAAACAAAAAACCAGACCTGATACTCTGATAAAATGTGAGTCCTTCTAAATCTGTGGTGATCAGAGCATTTTCTGATTTTTTTTTAATGAAACTTGTTTTGTCTTCTTGTACTTTCAGTGCTTTTTCGTCTGCCAGAAGTTGGGGACACCACAGAGAAAGTGGCTGAACTTTAGTGGAGGGAGGACAATGGATCACAGGATTGGAGGAGGAAAGTGAGTTTCTCTAAATCAGAAAGAACATGGTGAACTCTTCCCTCAGATCACAATATGTCATGGACTCGTGCTGCATTCTGCTTTACTATTGCTGATTTCTGTGCAGAAATGACTCTTACTACCTTCGTCAGTCTTGGATTTCTCTCTGAATATACTGAATATTCTCTCACCAGGGCCAAACGAACAAAAGATTACTAATGATTTTTAAGATAGTGGAAACATTTTCCATATCGTAAAAGATTGAGTTGCATGTGTGTGTTGTGTGGAAATTTGAAACTATAACATGAAGGTAAAGAGTAAATCTGCCTACAACAAACTATTATACTCATCATCAATTCATCTGTAGATTCAAAACAATAGCTTAGAAACAATGATGATGGTGATAGATTTCTAAGTTATCAAAATCAGCAATTATGGTACAAACAGTATATCTTCACATTAGAGTGCGAAAAATGACACTCAAAGTCAAATTTGTAATTGATTATTTATTTATATAGACTTCTCTTACTGAATAATTGTAGCATACTGCACAGATTTTTAACTGTGTATTTCAGTTGTCATGTTATGAAATCTTGATATTGAGATGAGCATCAGTGTTTATTTTCTGTAAGGCTATAATCTGTATATAGTCGTCTATATTGATATAAAGTATGCCCAACTATTTTGTGCACCTATCCTAAAAAGGACTTTGTGTGGACTTCCATTTATTGTGGACAGCCTACACACATACACACGCACGCATACACGCACACGTGCGCGCGCGAGCACACACACACACACGCACACACGCACGCACGCACACACACACAC